CCCCAAAACCCCAAAACCCCAAAACCCCTCACATACCCCAATTAAATTCTTTCTTCTACCAAAAATGTCCGCCCACCCCTCTCCTCACAAAGAACGTCAACTATTCAAACAAGAATTCTCCCTCACTCGCTCTCTCACCTGTAAGCCAAGCCTGTGCTGCCGCCTAGACTTGGGCAGTGGAGTCAGCTGCTTGGTCGGGGGCTGGCTTGGAGGCTGGCAGGGTGCGAACAGACCTGTTGGGCTTTAAGAGTTTTGGGTTGGAGAAATTTGTTGTAAACAATCCACTAATCTCCACTCTGTCACTGCTCCCAGTGAAGACTACTTCCAGAGCCAAGATCTGTGAAGCCATGCATAGAGTTCATGCACAAGTGATCAGGCAGATGGAAGTCGAAGGCGAGGAAGAAGGATCGACCAAGGTTGAAAGAGGAGTCTGGAATGGAATAATGAGACTTGTTCCGAAGGTTTTTGAGTGCTTGAGTTTTTGAAATTTGAGGTTGGGTAGAAGGCAGTTGGAAGTATTGATGAATAGTTTGGGGAAAGTTGGTACTCTGAGGTTTCAATCGTGATTAGTTGATATGGAGAATCTTCAAATACGACCGACTAGGAACCCGGAAATAACTAAAATTAGCTTTTATTATTGATATTATGATAAAATTGATGATGAAATTATTCCAATGAACTTAAAAGAATTCTTTATCTGAGTATCGGCTTCCTCACTTGGATACTCTTTGAGGAACTTATACTTTAAAGAATGTGGCTATCTTAAAAAAGACGTTCAAAATTTAGCAAATAAATATTTGGAAGATCATATTGCAATAAATGTATCAAGCAAAATTATTTGAGCTAAGAAAAGATAGATCACAAATCAAAGATCCCAAGCCCCAAAAACACCAATACCATATCCTAAAAGCTGCATTAACCGTTACCCATAAATTCTCCACCCTCCCTCAACTTCCCAATTTCAATCCTTAAAATACCCTCAGGGGTTTTGGGGTTTTGGGGTTTTGGGGTTTTGGGG